ACTAGTAATGCAGCATCAATTGATAAAATCTCAACGAGCCTATCCTTAACAAAATTCGAGCACTCGGTTCCAAACTGTCCATGCCCATCAAACACACCAAAGAAATGAACATCAGGGTTGCCCTGAATATTCGTTCTGATACAATAACTATCTTGATTTTCCTTACCAGGTGTTTCAGGATAATGACCACGTTGTGTAAGAACAGAATACTCTAACCTGAAATTGTGTGAAGGAACATTCACAATCTCTACCAACCGGTTAGCAAGTATATGTGTATTCTGACCAGGATACACCCCCAATTCTTCCTTGTTATCACCACCTGAGGTTCGTCGAAATCTGCTACAGCACTTACCACAAACACAACCCATACTCGTGTGCAATTTCAAGACACGCAAAATGTTTGCCACGAGTTTTGAAAGAAACTTAGGGTTAACCAGACCCAGTCCTACAAATAAATTTCGATTCTAGGAGAAATTGCCAAATGGGTTCTCTTCGAATCAAACATTGATAATTCCCGATTCAATTTCTCCCCGAACGTGTGAGCCCTCGGAATGGTATTTTGGATTATCAAATAACAAAGCTTTGATTTCTTCCAAATGGGGTTTCCATCTTTAAACAAAAATTAGAAAATCCCAATCAAGATTTAAACAAAGTGAACCAATAAACAATAATTTTTGAGTCGATAGAACGGAAATAAAGCACTAAAATGAACCCTATTTGAGCAAGAGGTAGGAAACTGGCAAATACATGGAAATTAGCCAAATAGAAAGGTATAAAGCTCGGCTAATTTTGATACCCAAAATACCCCTTTTATAATATTACATAATAAATTAATAAAAAATAAAAAATACCCCTTTTATAATATTACATAATAAGTTAATGAAAAATAAAAAAATTTCATTTTAGTTCTTAAAAAATTAAATACTGCTTAAATTTTAATAGATTACCAATTTATTTGATTTATTATATTTATTTGAATTTTTTTGATTTATTTGATTTTTGTTTGCTGTAAGTAGCACCATTTTTTTTGGTATCAGAGACATAGTAATCATGAAAATAACAATAAGAAAAATAGATAATTATTAGTGTTTAGAAGAAGAAAAATGTAATTATATATTTTTGGAATCTATTCATAATAGATTAAAAATAACGAAATTAACAATAATTAAAGAACTTCCTCAAGAAATAAAGGAACAAATATTAGAAAAATTAATAATAGAAAAAATAAAGATATATATACATATGAAAAAATTATTAATATATATGAAGATGAAGAAAATAATTTATATTATAAAGAAAAGTAAAAGTACAAGTAATAATATACATTTAAAATTAAATAAATTGCTTATAAAAATGGAAAAAATACTAGAGGAAATACGAAATATAATGTTAATACCAGAAGAAATGATAATACCAAATAATAGACAATTAATAAAATTAAGATGTGAAAAATTAAAACTTGAGAGTAAATATTTTACTATAGTAAAAGAAGAATTAGTAGATCTAGATACATTTGAGAGAAGATTTAGAAAAATAATAGATAAAATATGTAAATTAACCTATGAGTTAAAAATAAGAAAAAAATTAAGATGTCAATAAGTGAATATATGGAAGAATTACAATCATTAATAAAAATGTTAATAAATGATGTACAAGATTTAAGAAATGAAGTAAAAGAAACAAGAAATGATATAAATATATTAAAAATTGAAATTAGAGAATTAAAAGAAAATAATAAAAACAAAGATAAGAAAATAGATAAAAAAAAAAAAACTTATAGAAAAAGAAATGACTCGAATAGGAAAGAAACATATAGAAAAAGAAATAGAAACATGAAGTATGGATGATAAATTAAGAAAGAAAATATTACCAAAAATAATAGAAGAGGAAGAAGAATCTAGAAAAAAATCATTATGAAAATTAAAAATAGAAGAAAAAGAAAATGAGTGAAGAATTAGATTTGCCAATAGAAAATTTTGATCAATTAAGTTTAACTGGTATAAGTGAATACCAAGTTTTAATAAATATTGGATGAGGACCTAATTCAGCAGGAATCTCTAAACAAGAAGTACATGATACAGATGAAAGTTATGCACATACATATAATAAATCATATAGACAATTCTATGATAAAGTAATAGATAGACAATCACCTAAAGAAAATAAATGTAAAGATAGGTTTGAATTAAATGGTAATTATGATAAACCAATTAATCATGGATAAACAAAACTAGATTTAAACTGCAAAATAGATACTAAAAAAGGCTTATTAATTTGGGCAGATTCAATGATATTGTTCTTTTTGTATAACAAAGATAACACATGAAAAAATATTGAAAGAAGAATAAATTTTTTAATAGCGTCCTTTGAAGAGGATGTTAGAAATTGGTGGGAAGGAATAAGCAATGATACAAAAATACTAATAAAAAGAAAGGTACAAACAAAAATAATCAAGTCAGATAGACAAGGTATAAAAAAATTAGTAGAATATATTTCAGATGAGTTTTTAGAAGAAAATTGGATAAGAAATGCTGAAAAAGAATCAATAAGAGAAAAAGATAATGCTAGAATAAAATTAATAAATTTAACAATATACGATATGTGTAAAATTAAAAAATATACTTGTGAATTTAAAAATTACTATTATATTCTATTTTATAGTAATGAAAATCAAGAAGTATACCAAGACAAGTATTATAATAAGTTACCAGGTTCATGGGGAATATATTTTCAAATAGAATTCGAAAAATATGTTAGAGATAATACTGGAATACCTAGGACTTTAGGTTCGAGAATAAAATTTTTATTTGAAAAACTTGCATACATATGTCAACAAAGACAAATAATGAAAAAATAGGAAAATTAACTAAAATACGTTGTGAAGATATGGAAACCCCTATGCAATGGGGATGTAATCTTGAAAGAAAAAAATAAAAGAAAGTATAAAAATAAAAAATTTAAAAAAATTAGGAATTTTATCAAAAAATACATAAAACCTAAAAGAAGATATTACAAAAGAAAAAATAACTCATATAATCAACAAAAGAACAAAAAGAAAAATAAAAGCCAATGTAAATATTGAAATTGTGGAGAAATAGGTCATATAAGTCCTGATTGTGATAAAAAGAAAGTTAGAATGTTACAAAAATAATATTTAGAAATAAAGGATGAATTAAGTGAAATATCAGATATTGAAGAATACTATGATCAAGAAGTATATATAAGTGAAACAGAAGATGAATCAAAATCTGAATAGAGAAATTGAAGAAATAGAAAGTAATAACATAAATATACAAGAATACGAAGGAATTGAAGGATATGAATTAAAAGTCACTTTTGATAACAACAAATTTGAAAAATTGCAAAAATTATCGTTAGACTTAAAAATAGGAAAATGGAAAGTCTTTGATAAAATTTGAAAAAGAGAAAGAAGAGCAATAAATGAATATCACAAAATATAAAAAAGCCATCAGTGTAAGAATAAGGAGCTCCACCAAAATCTAAACCCAATGCATCTAAAGTGGCTGCTATGATAGCTTGGCCGCGACCAAAATCCCTTAGAGAACTAGGGGGTTCGTTTGTCTAACTAGGTACTATCGGAGGTTTGTAGAAGCATATGAGATGAAAGCATGGCCACAAACGCAACAATTAAAAATGGATAACTTTGGGTGGAATGATAAGGCGAAGGCTGCTTTTGAGAGTTTAAAGAAGGCTATGGCTTCGGTTCCAGTATTGGCACTTCCAGATTTTTTAAAACCGTTTGTGATTGAAATCGATGCGTCCAGCCATGGTTTGGGGGCAGTTTTGATGCAACATCAGAGGCCCATTGCCTATTCTAGTCAAGTTCTCCCATCTCGAGCCCGTAGCAGGTCCATTTATGAGAAGGAATTGATGGCAATCTTATTTGCTATACAAAAGTGGAGACACTATCTGATTGGGAGGCGTTTTGTAGTCCGGACTGATCAGAAGAGTCTCAAATTTCTGCTGGAACAGTGACTAGTAAATGCAAAATATCAAAAGTGGTTAACAAAGCTGCTGGGATTTAATTTCGACATAGAGTACAAGCCAGAGCTACATAAGGCAGTCAATGCCTTATCCTGCATTGAGTTATCTTCAACCTTGACTACACTTAGTATGCCATGTGTTCTACTGCAAGATGAATTATCAAAAGCAGTAAAAGAGGACCCAGAATTGAGCCAGATTCTCACGGCATTGTAAGCTGATTCGTCGTTGTGCCCAGAGTTTGCTTTGGTACGGGGTGCTCTATTATACCATGACAAACTCGCCCTACCCAAGGATTCTCCATTTGTGTTATTGGCATTACAAGAGGGACACGATAGCGAAATAGGGGGCATGGGGGTTTCCTCAAGACATACAAAAGGATTGCTGAAACATTCCATTGGAGAGGCATGAAAGAGGACATTCAGGACTGTGGCAGCTTGTGCCTCCTGTCAACAGAACAAATATTACACTCTCATGCCTGCAGGGCTGCTTCAATATTTACCTGTGCCAGAGAAGGTTTGGGACGATATGTCCATAGAATTTATTGAAGGGTTGCCAAAATCAGATGGTTTCGACTCAATCTTGGTAGTTGTGGAAAGCTTGAGTACGTATGGCCACTTTGTGGGCCTTAAACACCCTTTCTCAGCACCTTCTGTGGCTGCAGTTTTTATTAAAGAAATAATTCGATTGCACGGTACGTCGATATTGATAATCACTGATCGTGACCAGGTGTTTGTTAGCAAGTTTTGGAGTGAACTCTTTCAGCTGCAAGGCACTAAACTAAGGCTTAGTTCGGTCTATCACCCACAAATCGATGGTCAAGCAGAGGTAGTCAACGGGGGTATCGAGACATATTTGTGTTCCTTTACTTCTGGCAGGCCCAAGGAGTGGTTTCGTTTTCTATCATGGGCTGAACTATCTTTTTTTTTTTTTAAAAGGTAATCAAGTATTTTATTAATCAAACCATAATACAAAGGAAGTGTATTATCAATACAAATCTGAAAGAAACATCATAAAATTGGGCAGCCCATCTATATGACTAGTAGCCACCGCATTAAACCAAGTGTACAATGTGAAATAAAACAATTCTCTAAGTTGCTCTGTTGTTCTTGTTTGATCATCAACGCATCGGATGTTCCTTTTTCTTCACACATACCAAACTATACAGCCCGGAATAAGCTTTCATGCAAGTCTGCTACTCCCCATCCCTCTGACACATAAAGCACCACTCTGTAATACAAAAACCCCTTGTCCGTAGGTTTTCCGCCGTTATCACCTGTCCTCTGACCACAGTCCATAGTAAAAATGCTAATCGTGGTAGCAATTTACTCTTCCACACCGCCTTCTAAGGGAAAGAGCTATTCTCAACCCCCAATAAAGATTTAAAGAAAGTGCCGACTAAAAACATGTCATCCCGTGCCAACCTCCACCTACTGCAATCACCATATCCTGCCCTGATTTGTACCTCATTTAAAGATGTCAAAAACAGCGCGTAGTTGTGTAAACCCCGTGCACAAGCAATGTTCCAACTGATACTCCCATTATGAATATCTAAAACATCATTCACCATGACAGACGGCAACAATGCAATACGATACAAGGAAATTTCAATCTTAGTGGTTGATCTCAACACCAACAATCATCCCAAAAATTGATAGTATGACCATTCCCCACTACAAACGTCAACCCTCACCGGATATATCGCCACAGACTTACCCCATAAGAGCCTCGACTCTCGACTAAACACCATCCCCTCTCCATAACAACATATTTTGCTCCTATAATTTCTCTCCCAAAACTCCCTCTCCATTCCAAATAGCCACAACCATTTACCCAACAAAACTTTATTAAACAGTATGAAACTCCTCAATCCGAGACCACCCAACCTCATGGGAGAACATACGATACCCCAATTAATCAAATGTAATTTCATCTCCTGCATTAATCCTCCCTAAAGAAAATTCCTTTGGATCCTTTCCAATTTTTTTGCCACTGCAATAGGAATAGAAAACGACATGAAGTAAGAAGGGAGGTTCGACAACTTGGATCTTATGAGAGTAAGACGACCTCCCTTTGAGAGGTACATACGCTTCCACCCCGCTAGCCTTCTCTCCACCCTTTCAACAATACTATTCCAGATATGTGTGCTTTTAAACCAAGCGCCTAAAGGTAGCCCAAGATATGTCATAGGTAATCGCGCAACCCTGCATCCTAGTATAGTAGCCAACTCCACCATGTTATCCACCTCCCACTATGATAGCTTCAGATTTCCCCAGACTTATTTTCAATCCAGATACTGCTTCAAAGCATAAGAGCAAACGCTGCAAATTCCTGATTTGCTCTACCTCTGCATCACAGAAAATCAGTGTGTTGTGTGTTCATTAACAGTTTCTCAATATAGCAATACTTGGCAAGTTGCACCGATCCCTTTTTAGTGAACTTATCAAGCCTTGATGACAAAACGGACATTATTTCCACTCACTGTGGTAAGCACAAAAATATTTAAGGATAAAATTATGTGTTGTAACAACACTACATGTCGTATAAATCCATGGAAAGAAACAATATTTCACTGGTGGTTAAGGAAAAATGATTATCAAATAAGAAAAGCCGTGAACAACTAAGAATCAAATCATTCATACATTAGTCAATTCTTTAATTTGTACAAGGATGATGGTTATATCATCTGTCCGATTTTCATGCTCTAACCATAATTTATATGATTCTGTGGCAATGGCGGAACATGCATCCCTGGGATCAGGATATTTTGTAACCTGCAAAGATAGACGGAAATTACTGCCAGATATAAGTGGGAAAAAAATATCACTGCTGCACTCTGTTGTTACTTGGTAGCGTCAATTAATAAACTATACGCATAAGAAAAGCATGAAGCCATATTGAGCACAATAATCGATCAAGGTCAATGCTAAATTTACAAATCAAAAACATAACACGTGATTTCTAAAAGGTAAACTAAATTCATGATCAGTCCATATGCAAACTGAGGAGGAAGAGGAGGGGGTACTTGTGATAATGCTATTTATTTATTTTCTTTGGAGTTTATCCAATTTATCATGAAAGGTAAGAGGGGATAAAGGAACCGTGTGTTGATTGTCCTCTAAAGGTAAGTTTTCTTCTTCCTTATGTAAAAAGGGAATAAATCAATCAATCAAATTCCCATGCCATTTGTGTAGGTATATGGGTCAATCAAAAGCAGGCCACATTTCAGTAACCATATGTTACATTGAGCAGTAATTGTAAGCAATGCTTACCTGCACATTTATAGGAATAACTCAAGATGATACTAGAAATAAGGAGCTAACACATGTGCAAGAAGTACCAATTACAATGATATAAATGTTTCTTTACTTCTTCAAACATTGATATAGACCAAGATCTCAAAGTCCAAGGGCAATTATAGTTTTCACAATCATATGAAATGTACTCGAGTCCATTTAGTAACATGATCAATAAAATATTTTGTATGCACCGCAAGTAAAAGAAGAATAATCCTTTCTACAACCATTGGTGTTATAATACTAGTCTAGGTGGCATTAAATGATAAGCCCAATTAAATGCAAAGAATATGGAAGCCATTTAATTAGGCTTATCATTTAATGCAAATTAGACCACTACTAATGTTAGATAAATGGTCGATTTGTAAAATGTACTCGAGTCCATTTTAACATGGTCAATAGAATATTTTGTAAGTGCAGTAAGGAAAAGAAGAATGAAGTCTTACTACAAAGCTTCCAGTTGGGCTCTAGTTTCACATGAATGTTCGTGTGTTTTACATTTATGGAGTTTAATATTTCCATAAAGTTGAACTTCTCAAATTATACATATGCATGCATATCAATTATAGATAAAATCAACCCTAATAGCAAGGCAAACAAAAGCGACATTATTTATGCATAAACTTCCAAAATCTTAATGGTGAAGGAGTAAATGAAAAAGAACAACAGATGAAATATTTCTGATCATTAAATGTGTCATGTACCATGTCCACAACAGTTTGGCTAGGTAGGAACTCAAACACCCCATCACTTGCAACAACAAAGAATGGGTGCTTAGCTGAAAGCTCTACCATGGACACTTCCGGATCAGCAACAACACCAATCTTCTCCGCCAGTCTATCCCCTACACTACGCGTAAATGCAGTTCCTGGATACATCCCATCTTGAACCCATAACCTAGGTGGATCGCCACCCTCAGTTTCCTCATCTCCCCAAGATTGTATTCCTGGATCCTTAAGCCCTTCCACTTGATCAACACTCAAAACCCTAGCCCCACAAAGCTTCACTCTCTCACATTCATCTACCCGGAATGGCGTCTGGTCACGAGATAAATCTTGACCGACAATTTTATTCCCTTCCTTGACAGCTAACACTGCTCTCGAGTCGCCAACATTTGCAACATAAAGCTTATCCCCAATCAAAAGAGCTGTTATGGCCGTAGTACCACTCATGGAATCATCTATATCACTATTATGAAGTTCATCATTTGTTGCCAAAAATGCAGCACTATAAGCCTTGACCGGATCAACTAGTAATGCAGCATCAATTGATAAAATCTCAACGAGCCTATCCTTAACAAAATTCGAGCACTCGGTTCCAAACTGTCCATGCCCATCAAACACACCAAAGAAATGAACATCAGGGTTGCCCTGAATATTCGTTCTGATACAATAACTATCTTGATTTTCCTTACCAGGTGTTTCAGGATAATGACCACGTTGTGTAAGAACAGAATACTCTAACCTGAAATTGTGTGAAGGAACATTCACAATCTCTACCAACCGGTTAGCAAGTATATGTGTATTCTGACCAGGATACACCCCCAATTCTTCCTTGTTATCACCACCTGAGGTTCGTCGAAATCTGCTACAGCACTTACCACAAACACAACCCATACTCGTGTGCAATTTCAAGACACGCAAAATGTTTGCCACGAGTTTTGAAAGAAACTTAGGGTTAACCAGACCCAGTCCTACAAATAAATTTCGATTCTAGGAGAAATTGCCAAATGGGTTCTCTTCGAATCAAACATTGATAATTCCCGATTCAATTTCTCCCCGAACGTGTGAGCCCTCGGAATGGTATTTTGGATTATCAAATAACAAAGCTTTGATTTCTTCCAAATGGGGTTTCCATCTTTAAACAAAAATTAGAAAATCCCAATCAAGATTTAAACAAAGTGAACCAATAAACAATAATTTTTGAGTCGATAGAACGGAAATAAAGCACTAAAATGAACCCTATTTGAGCAAGAGGTAGGAAACTGGCAAATACATGGAAATTAGCCAAATAGAAAGGTATAAAGCTTGGCTAATTTTGATACCCAAAATACCCCTTTTATAATATTACATAATAAGTTAATGAAAAATAAAAAAATTTCATTTTAGTTCTTAAAAAATTAAATACTGCTTAAATTTTAATAGATTACCAATTTATTTGATTTATTATATTTATTTGAATTTTTTTGATTTATTTGATTTTTGTTTGCTGTAAGTAGCACCATTTTTTTTTGGTATCAGAGACATAGTAATCATGAAAATAACAATAAGAAAAATAGATAATTATTAGTGTTTAGAAGAAGAAAAATGTAATTATATATTTTTGGAATCTATTCATAATAGATTAAAAATAACGAAATTAACAATAATTAAAGAACTTCCTCAAGAAATAAAGGAACAAATATTAGAAAAATTAATAATAGAAAAAATAAAGATATATATACATATGAAAAAATTATTAATATATATGAAGATGAAGAAAATAATTTATATTATAAAGAAAAGTAAAAGTACAAGTAATAATATACATTTAAAATTAAATAAATTGCTTATAAAAATGGAAAAAATACTAGAGGAAATACGAAATATAATGTTAATACCAGAAGAAATGATAATACCAAATAATAGACAATTAATAAAATTAAGATGTGAAAAATTAAAACTTGAGAGTAAATATTTTACTATAGTAAAAGAAGAATTAGTAGATCTAGATACATTTGAGAGAAGATTTAGAAAAATAATAGATAAAATATGTAAATTAACCTATGAGTTAAAAATAAGAAAAAAATTAAGATGTCAATAAGTGAATATATGGAAGAATTACAATCATTAATAAAAATGTTAATAAATGATGTACAAGATTTAAGAAATGAAGTAAAAGAAACAAGAAATGATATAAATATATTAAAAATTGAAATTAGAGAATTAAAAGAAAATAATAAAAACAAAGATAAGAAAATAGATAAAAAAAAAAAAACTTATAGAAAAAGAAATGACTCGAATAGGAAAGAAACATATAGAAAAAGAAATAGAAACATGAAGTATGGATGATAAATTAAGAAAGAAAATATTACCAAAAATAATAGAAGAGGAAGAAGAATCTAGAAAAAAATCATTATGAAAATTAAAAATAGAAGAAAAAGAAAATGAGTGAAGAATTAGATTTGCCAATAGAAAATTTTGATCAATTAAGTTTAACTGGTATAAGTGAATACCAAGTTTTAATAAATATTGGATGAGGACCTAATTCAGCAGGAATCTCTAAACAAGAAGTACATGATACAGATGAAAGTTATGCACATACATATAATAAATCATATAGACAATTCTATGATAAAGTAATAGATAGACAATCACCTAAAGAAAATAAATGTAAAGATAGGTTTGAATTAAATGGTAATTATGATAAACCAATTAATCATGGATAAACAAAACTAGATTTAAACTGCAAAATAGATACTAAAAAAGGCTTATTAATTTGGGCAGATTCAATGATATTGTTCTTTTTGTATAACAAAGATAACACATGAAAAAATATTGAAAGAAGAATAAATTTTTTAATAGCGTCCTTTGAAGAGGATGTTAGAAATTGGTGGGAAGGAATAAGCAATGATACAAAAATACTAATAAAAAGAAAGGTACAAACAAAAATAATCAAGTCAGATAGACAAGGTATAAAAAAAATTAGTAGAATATATTTCAGATGAGTTTTTAGAAGAAAATTGGATAAGAAATGCTGAAAAAGAATCAATAAGAGAAAAAGATAATGCTAGAATAAAATTAATAAATTTAACAATATACGATATGTGTAAAATTAAAAAATATACTTGTGAATTTAAAAATTACTATTATATTCTATTTTATAGTAATGAAAATCAAGAAGTATACCAAGACAAGTATTATAATAAGTTACCAGGTTCATGGGGAATATATTTTCAAATAGAATTCGAAAAATATGTTAGAGATAATACTGGAATACCTAGGACTTTAGGTTCGAGAATAAAATTTTTATTTGAAAAACTTGCATACATATGTCAACAAAGACAAATAATGAAAAAATAGGAAAATTAACTAAAATACGTTGTGAAGATATGGAAACCCCTATGCAATGGGGATGTAATCTTGAAAGAAAAAAATAAAAGAAAGTATAAAAATAAAAAATTTAAAAAAATTAGGAATTTTATCAAAAAATACATAAAACCTAAAAGAAGATATTACAAAAGAAAAAATAACTCATATAATCAACAAAAGAACAAAAAGAAAAATAAAAGCCAATGTAAATATTGAAATTGTGGAGAAATAGGTCATATAAGTCCTGATTGTGATAAAAAGAAAGTAAGAATGTTACAAAAATAATATTTAGAAATAAAGGATGAATTAAGTGAAATATCAGATATTGAAGAATACTATGATCAAAAAGTATATATAAGTGAAACAGAAGATGAATCAAAATCTGAATAGAGAAATTGAAGAAATAGAAAGTAATAACATAAATATACAAGAATACGAAGGAATTGAAGGATATGGATTAAAAGTCACTTTTGATAACAACAAATTTGAAAAATTGCAAAAATTATCGTTAGACTTAAAAATAGGAAAATGGAAAGTCTTTGATAAAATTTGAAAAAGAGAAAGAAGAGCAATAAATGAATATCACAAAATATAAAAAAATCATAGATGTAAGGACAACTTATGGGCAATATAAATTAAATCTTTTAACAAAAAATACAGTTAAAGAACTATTGACAAAAGATCGGTAAAAAATAAAGTGAAAAAAAAGCAATATGTTTATTTAGCAGGAATACAAATAATGTTTAAATCACTATTTAGAGAAGGGATAGATTCACCCTTAACTATAACTTTACATGATGGAAGAATAATAAACTTAAATGATAGTCATTTAGGAACAATATAATGAAATTTAGCATATCAAAAAATTATGTTTACATGTTATCCAAAATATTGTGTATCATTAAAAGATAGAAATTTTAATGAAGTTTTAGGACTACATTTTAAATTTCATAGAGATGATATCATGCAATCAGGTGATCAAATTATGACTATAGAATATAGAACTTTATATACATTTACTAATTCTAATTATGGAAATATTTATTCCAATAAGCCATATATTGAAGTTCATAAAGAATGTAAAGATATTAGTAAAATAATAGAACCGAATAAACAAATAAGTTTAATTCCAGAAGAATATGAATTTAGTATAACAAAAAATAAACCTAAAATAACATAATTAAATGAATGAGAATGTTCTAGTAATATTATATTTAAGGATTAATTAAAAGATCAAAAAGTTTTAAAATACCTAATAAAAACCAGTTAGAAGAGATCAACAAAATAAACGAAATAAAATTGTATATGAATGCTGGAAACATGAAAATAGAAGGAGAATATTATAATGGAAGAGAAAATATAAATGGAACAAATATATTAATAAATACAGGAGCTAGTGAACGTCATATAGCTTCGATTAGAAATAAAGGACTAATAACTCATAAAATTGAACTATATAAGTATGTAAATTTTGATGAACAAGTACATATAACAGATTTAGAAGTTAAGGTATTAATAAAAATAGGAGGAATAGATCTTTTAGTACAATGTTACATAGATAAGAGTATGGATATAAATCCCTATATACTTTTAGGAATGAATTTTCTAAATGGATTAGAAAATTATAGTATAAAAAGAGAAGGATTATATATTGTTCATAATGGACAAACTACATTATGTAAAAAGAATTAGATGAATAATCAGATAAGTTTTCCATCAGCTGTGTATATATAAATTACTATTGTAAAAACAAATACAACAACTTGTGCTTTAATAGATACAGGAAGTGATATAACAATATTTAAAAGTTTTTTAATAAAATCATGGAATAATAATAGTAATATAAAAATAACTGAATTTACAGAAGAAAGTACTCAAATAATTAATAGTGCTGATAAAACTAATATAATTATTGGAAGTAAACAAGTAAGAATAAATAAAATTTATAAATATTATAAATTAGAATGTGATATATTGTTAGGAAATGACTTCATACAACAATTTCAATAGTATAAACAAAATAATTATATGATAATGCTACAAATACCTTGTGGAAACTTATTAAAAATTCATAGAGAATTTAAACTTAATAGAGTTCAGCCAGCCCACCATGGTGATAAATGGGAGAAAAAAACCAATTATATTTAATGAAATAAAAAATAAAAGAATATTATATAAAAAAAGTTCTAAAAACAGGAATAGAAATGAATATAGAAAAAATTATTGAACAATTAGAAAATGTTTATGGAGAAAATCCATTATTATTTTGGAAACCACATCACTCAAAAGTCAAAATAGAATTAACAGAAAACGTTATAATAAGAGTTAGACCAATGATGTATACAATAGAAGATACACAAGAATTTAAACATCAGATAAAAGAATTGTTAGAACAAAAACTTATTACACTTAGTAATGGACCTCATAGTAGTCCAGTCTTTATGTTTATGAAACATTTTGAACAAGTTAGAGAAAAAGCTAGAATGATCATAAATTATAAAGAACTAAACAAATATATTAAATTTGATGGTTATTTCTACCAAATAAAGAAGTGTTAATAAATCTTGCAAGAGGAAAACAAAATTATTCTAAATTTGATTGTAAATGAGGATTTTGGCAAATAAAAATGGAAGAAGATAGCATACAATATACTACATTTAGCACACCTCAAAGAAAATATGAATGGCTAGTTATGTCATTTGGCCTAAAAAATGCACCACAAATATATCAAAAAAGATGGATAACATATTTAAAAATTTTAATGAATTACTAAGAGTTTATATAAATGATATATTAATATATTCTAATAGTAAAGAAGAGCATAAAAATCATTTAATCAAATTTATTAACAAATGTAAAAAAGAAGGAATTGTACTATCTAAAAAGAAATTTATAATAGAAAAATAAGAGATAGACTTTCTTGCATTATC